AAATGTTTGTCTCCCTGAGCTTGGCCTTCATAATTCCCTTCCATCACAGGCGTGAAGGTATGGCAATTCTTCTCATGTGTCCAAATCCAGACAGGATGGACAACTCACTCTGCAGCAATATACTGTAAACTGCAAGAATCATATTATTGGGGTGTTGTTCTTTAAATCCCATGGAGTTGGGTACAGTGGGCTAAGTCACGAACCCCTACTGTAATGTCAAAGAAGCAAGGGAATAAAAGTGGAGTTTGCAAGATCAAGTCCAAGAACTTTCAGATAAGACAAAAAGGAAGGAGGCAAACAGGACAAAGGGTGGAAGGAAACTTTGGGAAAGCTATTGCAAGACCTCGTGGTTCCATACACAGTTTGGGGAATTTTTGTTGAGAGCACACTGAGCTGCCCTCACAAAACGGTTAATTGGAAAAACTTATGTATTCCCAAAAAAGTTGCCTTGGTGAATATAGCCAGAAAGGACATCAATTTACTAGAAATCAAACAGTTGAGTTGCCCCTTCTTCCACATTTTCTGAGTCACAAGATCCTCTCTAGCACCCAGTTTATTTTCATAAATTTTCCAAGCAAGTGGGCACTTTTCCCAAAAGGGAAGATCATTGTTGGGCTTTAAAAAATGAAAGAAAATTTTAAGGATCCCATAAAGAGGAAAGGAATTTTTATTTTCAAGATCCCCATTTTTCATTGGATTCCATTTTTGCAGAAATGGACAATCTATTCATCTCACCTCACCCCTGCAGGAGAAAGGAGCTAGAGAGAGAGAGGATGATTCTCCAGCTCTATTTCCATTCAGACTTTCCTTCCAGAACTCACTTTTTTAATGTCTTCATAAAAGAGATACAGAACCCGGTGAGTATCTTTTGCTTTCCATCAATCCTTTACATGATTGTACCACGAGCCCCAGGCCACTGGAAGATGCAGAACAGAGAAAAGTAGGGAGCCATCAGGTTCCCAGTGAAGTTCTCAGCAAGAGACATAACAACATTATTCTCAAATGTTGAGGCCTCCTGCTCTTTTCCACTCATACCCTGAAAACATTGCAGAATGGCCCCCAATCCTGTTGAAGTTCACCATGAGAAAGGTGAAAATTCCACCTTCGTTGTCTATCGCATGTCATCACAGACTTAGAGTTGGAAGGAGCCATTTATATCCTTAAGTCCAACTCAGGAGCCAGTCTGGTGTAGTGGGTAAGGTACCAGGCTAGAAACCGGGAGACCATGAGTTCTAGTCTTGCCTTAGGCACAAAGCCAGCTGGGTGACCTTGGACTGGTCGCTTTCTTTCAGCCCTAGGAAGAAACCAATGGCTAACTACTTCTGAAATCTTGCCAAGAAAACCACAGGGACTTGTCCAGGCAGTTGCCAGGAATCAAAAAATTGACTCAAAGGCGTACACACACAGACAAAAAAAGTCTGACCCACTACTTATTGTTTTATTTGATTGTTGTTCGCTGCCCAGAGTTACTTCTGGTGAGGTGAGCAGCTATATAAAATTGATAAATAAAACAAACAAATCCAGATTAAACCATCCCAGATTGACAACTGTTTAGCCTCCACCTGAACACATCCCATAGAGCTGAACTCACCCAGGCAACTGCTTCTGCTATCAATCTGCTTTCACTGCAGATTTTCCCTCTAACATTCAACTGTAGTTTACTTTCTTGTAATGTAAGGCTTACTACCAAATATGCCTAACAAACATTTTACGTATGGAACCTGGTCTTTACCTTACTGAAATTCCCCACCTCCCAAATTACCTGTTACTTAAAAAAAAAAATGAGACGGGGGTGCTTTGCTTACCTTTGCCTGCCATGAAAGTCTCCAAATATTCCTCCCATGTTCCAGGATGAGGCATTCTTTTGTTCATTCTTTGGAAATGGAAATAGGACACCAGGCAGTCCTTGGGATTTCTTGCCATATAAATGAACTGAGGGGATACAGCAGAAGACACAGTCCTGGATTAACCATTAAGCAAAAGAAGCATCAGGGGAAGGGGGGCACCACAGAGTTTTTCCTCTTAGCTATCATGCCCTTAACTCTTTCACGGCCATGCTCAATTCTAGTTTTCAACACTTAGTGAATTTTAATGTCTTGCCAGTTAAGCAAGGGAAGGGCTGAGGGGCACCATTGTTGAGCTGTGCTTAGGGCATCAGTTCACCTTAATCCAGCCCTGAGAAGAAACATATTTCTATGTGATAGCAGATAAGAGATGTGTCCCCAAAGGTATACAATTGGCCATCTGTGGCATCTGGGTAAGAAGAATTTCACTCCATTCAGACAAATGGGAATGTGAAGGAACTGCTCCACTTGCAGCCCAACCTACTTCACAGGACTGTTGTGGTAGGGGACAAAGGGAACAGCCACCGTGACAGATGCTGCCTTGAGATGGGAGATCAATCTAACAAATTATAATAATGTAGTCAATGACTCAGTCCATATTTAGTTTGATCTTGTGGTCTTCTGGAGAATGTTTGGGCATCAGCAAGAATTACCTTGCAGTTCTCTGTCCAGAATGACTGAGGGAGCAGCCGGACAGGAAGGTGAGTCTTGAGGGTCCTTGGAGAGGGCATCATTTCGGCTTGCTCCACTCCTGCTTAAAGGACACAGAAGACAAAAGGGATGAGAATCCGTATTTGAACCTGAATCGATAACCAGGACATGTCTGGGAACTGTGCTTTTACAGATTTGCTGAAGATCTGTGGCTAGGCATCTTTAGCTGCTCCCCTTGCCCTGCCAAACAACTGCTCCCAGATTTCTGTGTAGAAAAGCCAGGCTAGTCAGATCTACCTGAGGTCTGAAATGGTCTTGCCCATTCAATGAATGGATGTCGATAATTCACAGGGGCTCTCTGACATTTCTCCAGGTCTCCTTCTTGTTGGATCATATCCACTATCTCTTGTATCCAAGTGGTACCTGGGGAGTGGGTGAGAGAGAGAGATCAACATTCGTATATTCTGTGCTATGCATAAGTGATCTATGCCTGAAGTCGATCAACATAAGCTGAAATCTGCAATCACACACGTTTCACCAGTGCACACTTATCTGCAGGTTTTCTGTCACTTCTGCTAGCCTTGAGATGGGGAAAGGAATTATGCAACCCCAGAAACCTTCTGTTTGGTCATCCTCAGAGAGATTTAGCAAAGCATCACAAGAACAATTTCAGCTTGTAACTCAGAAAGGTTGGAAATTGGATTTTGCAAAGGATCAGCAAATCAGATTAAATTCTTTCTAACAATACAAGAACACACATTCTTACTCAATCTAATGTGAACACGCTCTCTTGGAAAACCCAGCATAGTTATATTGGCTCAATAATGGGACCTGTCCAAAGTCATGAGGAGTTGTTTTCCTCTATAAGCACTTTGGGTGCTTTACCCCAAAGTAGTGCATATAAATTTAATTAATACATACGTACGTATGTATGTACATAAAAAAATATTCCCAAACTGGACATGACTTTGCCCCTAGATTCTTACCTGATTTGGGGTAAGTACAAAGAAGTAAGTCATCTGGCTTGGCTTGGAAGCACTGGATCCGGTCCCATTCATTACAAGTGTCTTTTGGTAAGGGAAACCCTTCCACTTCGCCTAGTTCAGGGCGTTTCTCTGATGTAGGATCTTTCCCTTGCTCCATGGATGTTAGCTATAATGTGATGGACGAGAGAGGCAAAAACTCTGGGGGGGAAAAAGAGTTCTCCTTTCCTGGAGATCTTCAGAGATTCTTTAGTGGATGCTAGACTAGATCACCTCCAAGATCCCTTCCAACTCTGATTATATGTTTGTAGGGGGAAAACTGTATTACTAGTAAAAGTCTTGAATTAACAGTCTTCAGTTTAATGGACTTCAGATTTAAAGGGAAAAGAACGCAGAGTTCCTTTCCGTTTAGCAGACAATCATCCCCATTTAGTGGACAAAGTCCACTAAGTCCAATTCCACCCAGATAATTAACATCATTTATGTAATTATGTGGTGTAATTATGTAAATGGAATAAATTTAAGCAAATAATATACATTTGGATTTAATAGACATCCCATTTTCCCTAAATGCATCATTCAATCATTTTACTGTATTTTTCTCAAGTCATAGAAGAAGAAATTATGTGTACTCAGATCAGTTTATCATTTTTTTTTTCCTTCCAGGAAGAAAAATTTGTGATTTTGGCAGCTTCCTGACTTGCAAAATTTCAGGATGGGCAGCTATATCTAGCTCAGAGTTGTGATGCTAGCCAAGGTTTCAAAGCTAAACATCACTCAAGTGCTTTGTTTGTGTTAGAAAAGCTTTTCTGACTACCCATCCCTTTGGGGGGAAATTGTCTTAAATTCAGGGTGGTCTGTCTTTCAGATAAATGTGGTAAGTTTCTTACCTAATCTCTTCCTCTACTCTTTCATTTACTTTTAAGCCTAAAGTGATTGGCTGTTAGAACTGTCAATCACAGCATGGTACACAGGCACCTCCTCCCAGCTTATATTCTGGAAGGAGGGGGGGGGAACTGAGGGGAGAGGGATTTGGGAGGTGAGGGTGGAAGGAGGTTTGAAGGAAGCTTGGAGTCCAAACCCTAAGACAGTGGTAGCTCCAAGATGGGATGCTGGATTCTCTTTGGATTCTCATACAACTAATCCTTGCTTAATGACCACTATTGGGACTGGCAGCTCAGTCGCTAAGCAAGACATCACGTGACCATGACTTGTGATTTTACTGCCAGCTTCTCCATTGATTCTGCTTGTCAGAAGTCAGCTGCGAAGCACACAAATGGTGAACACATGACTGCGGAACACTGAAATGGTCGTAATTGTGAGGACCGGTCGTAAAGTTACTTTTTCAGCACTGTTGTAACTTTGAACAATTGCTAAACAGGGCAGTCATTAAGCGAGGACTACCTGTAGTGTCTTCTGGGTTCTCTCTACCTTTTGAGATTGGCAAAATGAAGGTGATAAATGTGCCATTTTCAGACTGCTTTTAGGTGGTTGAAACAATAAGGGGATGGAAGTGCCCTTGGCTTAATTTCCAAACGTTTTAGGCACATGCATGAAAAAGTCATTTGCGAATAATGCAGTGATAAACTTGCTTGCAAATATCTTTTCTTTCTCCCTCTCTCTTATACACACCAGCTACACAGCATGAGTTGTGACTCACCCAATGTTTAACGTGGAAAAAAATCTCCAAAATGCCGTGAAAGTGTCTCAAGACACTGAGCAAAAGACTGGATCTAACACATTCTAAAATTCTTCCTCCACCCCATTCGAGAATGTTCAGTCCGCCAGAGTCAACAACTTCCAAGATTCCCACATACTTTTTAATCTTATATTTGTGTGTGCACATGTGTGCGCGTGCACACACATTTCTACCTTTGGTCCTTTTGCTGCTCTATTTCAAACACACCCTGTTATGGACTCTTTCTCCTTTGTGTATGAATAGTTATTGCTCTAGATGTCTAGAAAGTCCCCCCCACCCCCCAGTCGCCCTTAATTTGTTGGCAATTTCAGTTTGATTGGGTATGTTTTTAGTACAATCGCTGGCTGAAAAACACAGTCCAGTCTTCAGTGACATTGTAGGACAGCTGTGTTAGTCTATTGTGGCAAAAAAAAAAAAAAGTCAGAAGGAGCTTGGTAACATCTTTTCCAGCTAACATTTTTTAAATTAAATGGCATAAGGTTTTGTGAACTTGTTAGTTAGAAAAGATGCTACCTGACTCCTTCTGGACTTCAATGGACAATCCCAGGACTTCTACGAACAGAACTTATCCCTTGTTATCCTGGAATTCCAAACCATCACTCAACAGAGATTATGCCAACAGTGGGCAAATTTTGGATCCAGGATCATCCCTGACTCCTGTTTTTGGAGTTTCATGGAACCTCTTTGATCAAATCAAATCACATTCCCCAGAATCAGCAACATATTATTGCATCATTTAGAGTTGGGGAGTATATGGAAATTGTAATGTAAGCTCCACTATTTTAACAATTAAAAAAAAAATTAAGGAAAAACAAATGCTATTGCCTCAAAAGGGGAGAAAAGGAAGATCACAGCCCTAGGCACTGTCATGTGTCATGTCACTGTGTCCTTCAACCAGCAGAAGGTTGCTCATCTCTGATTTATGAAGAGCCTAACCAGCAATCAGTTATATTTCCACACACATTTTGCTCCTCACCCTCCCATCTTTTACTTGACTTTCCCATCATTCCTCCTTAAGTTTTCATTCCCAGCTTGACTGTGTGGTAGAGTTTCAACAGCTGTAGAAGAGGTAGAGATGTGGTAATAACTACATGGTGGATTCCATGAAGCTACCCGGAGTCACACTTATCTCAGAGACTTTACTCCTATATGAAGGTATAAAGAAATCATACTTCTGCTGCTGACCTTCCATGCCAGCGCCAAGTACTGTATCTGTTTCTTCAATATACATCTAGTTTTATCAACCTGGTGTTCCTTTGGCCATGGTGGCTATAGATGATAGTTGACTAAATGGTAGTTCACAATGCCCCTTATGGTATTGTGAAGCTCTCTCTGAGTGGATTTCATTGTCTCTTACCCACTTTGTCCTTTGTTGACCATTGTCCCAACCCAATATTAAGCAGCACAGAAAAACTCTACAATCCCTTCTCCATTCAGTTTCCTGTGGAGTAATACAGTTCAGCTTGCAAGCATGCTTTCTGGATTCTATCACATGGCTGGCTGGGGAATTCTGGGAGTTGAAGTCCACTCATCTTAAAGTGGCCAAGTTTGGACAACACTGACTTAAAGTCAAGCCTGCAGATGTGGACTTACCTGGCCTTCTCTGACAATCAACCCTTGAGGATCACTTGAAATGGGAACCTGCTGAAGTGTTGCTTCCACAAGTATAATGCCACCCAACTTGGTGTAGGTAATTAGATTGCATAAGCCAATCACATTTTCAGTGTCCAAGAAACTTCTTGAAGGAGCCGGTATCTGGTTCCAAAGTCCATTTGTTTTCACTGTTTGGTCAGTGAAATGGTGATGAATTATTGCAATACACTTTCTAACAAATGGAGTCGGGCCAAGTCTTTGTGACAAACTGAGATCACTGAATTTTGGAATTTCCATGGCTTAGTATTTCTCAATATTGTGCATCTCATACAAGTAACAACCAAGCTGGTAGATATGGCACCCTGATGAACCTATTCCCTTCTCAAGGCAATTGCTCATTTTGAATATCCTTAGTGTATTTGAAAAATACTGGCCATCTGGTGTTGACTCCTGGTGACTGCCTGGGCAAGTCCCTGGAGTTTTCTTGACAAGGTTTCTCCGAAGTGTTTGCCCTTGCCTCCTTCCTAGGGCTGAGAGAGGGAGACTGGCCAAGGTCACCCAGCTGGCTTTGTGCTTAAGGCAGAACTAGAACTCACGGTCTCCTGGTTTCTGACTTGATGTCTTAACCACTACACCAAACTGGCTCTCATTCATTCATTCATTCATTCATTCATTCATTCATTCATTCATTCATATTTATTAGCATCTTTGTACTTCCTAAATGACACAAAGAATTCTACCACGGGTTACTCTACCTTAAAACTGGCATGACATTAGCAATGATCATGGACATCATGCAGCCTCAGACTCAACAGATATTAATTAAAATTTTTTGGAGGTTTTTTTTTTGGAAGGAGGAGGGAGACAAGCCTGTTGGGATCCTCTTCTTAGTACAGAACAGGGCTGTGGTGTGGCTCCTTCATGCCCTTGGCACATCTCTAGCTGGGCCCCATCTGGAGCAGGTCAGCTGCGACTGCGGACACCTTAAAGGGAACCTGGGTGCTATGTAGGAGTTCTCAGGCACAGCTGAATTTGGGAATTAAGAAAGAGGTTGCCTTCTCACTGAGAAAAGGATTTTGTGGTTTAAAAGGAAGAAAAAAACTGGAAACTTCCTTTCCTTTCCTTTGCAGCTCTGGGATACTTTTGCTGTCTTCTTTTCATGGAAGATGGTTTAGCATTCATTCATCCATTTATTGGACAAAGAAGAAAGAAAAATGAAGTTGCGGAATTGTTCAGGAATCCCTGCTCTTGCCTTTTACTCTGAATGTTTTAGGGCCATGTTTATACTTTTCTTGGGAATCTGGCAGGTTAAAAGAAGTCAAAGCTAAATTCTCAGGATTTGGGCAATCAATAAGGTGTCAGCAAAAAGAACATGCTTTTTCCTTCTCTTTCTTGGGGAGGGGAATCTTTAGCATAATTATTGTGATAGAGGATACTGTCAAGGATAACCCTGAACAAAGAGGTCTTGCAACTGGACATCCCAACCTTGAACATTGGAACTATCCATCATCCAGTGTTTCAAGACTTAATCTCTTTTCTTCATGTTCAGTTGAAAAAAATGGGACCTATCTATGAACCCATATGGATGTATATGGAGAGGGAGAGATTACTATTATGGTCCAAGTCAATCTTGACTTCTGATTTGATTAGGTCCATGCTGATCCTTAGCAACGATGTAGATAGACCTTCTCCAGGATCTTCTGTCTACCACCTGGTCCTTCAGCTCTTCCAACAGGGCACCCATTATCTCTATAATGGAGTCTTTCCACCTTGCTGCTGGCTATCCTCTTCTTCTCTTTCCTTCTACTTTCCCTATGTAGATACATTTCCATGCAGTTTAGAAAGATGTATTAACTACTTCTGTGATTCTTGCCCTTTAACAACTAAAAGGAGGGCAGGCATGAATGAAAAAGAAAAAGAGAGGAGTCCCAGATGCTAATAAAAATATTTGATTATTGGCCCAACAGATTTCAGAAAACGATTCCTTTGTCAAGAGCATTATAAAAACAGAGGATATAGCAGTCAGTAGGCAACAGTTTAGTAAACACATTATGCATTTGCCTGACTGCTATTCATATTCTAAAATAAATAATAAAGGCCGAGAAATATTAGCATAGGGCAGTGTTTCTCATCCTTGGCAATTTTAAGATATGTGGACCAACACCCAGAATTCCCCAGTCAGTAAACACTGGTATAGGGAAAGAGAGAGAGAGAGAGAATTAATAGATTAATTATTAAATATATGTGGATTGTTGTGAGTTGCTCCGAGTCATTGAGAATCAGGCAGCATACAAGTTTAATAAATTATTATTATTATTCACATAAATATTAAATAAAGGGGAGAGGGTTAAGTGGTCACATTGACAAATGAATCATGACTACAGCCTTGAAAGGAACTGGCACTTTACTTGCCTCTAAGCTTAAAATACATTGCAAGCGAACATTCACCTTTTTAGGTAATGTTATGTGTTCTGGCATTTCTTCCATCCCAATATAAGAAAATAACCCTGTAAGGAAGCAATTAAATATTATCAGTATTATCAAAGAAGCCCCACTTGAGCCTGTAAAACATTGACAGCATTAGCTGATGTGTAAAGCAAAGGGAATTTTGGTAAAGCCTATCTTTGTCTTAGTTCTATAAAATCATGGTATGGCCGAATGAGGTGGTTGGAACTGGGGACAGCTATTATATAGTTTGTAATAGGAATGAACTTACTGCACTGCAAGACAAAATTGTTCTTAAAGGAAAATATTTCTAATTAATAAAAAGAGAGTATTGTATACCTCTGTTTAATCTTGCCAGTGTTTCTCAACCTTGGCAACTTTAAGATGAGTGGATTTCAACTCCCAGAATTCCCCAGCCAGTTGCTAAGATTGAGAAACACAGTGCTAAGCACTCGCAACTCCAGCCTTATTTTTCTTATCCTTTAAGCAGTATCTTCCATTTTACAAATGTCATTCAGAGGCTAGAAAGCATTAAGAGAGTTCACAGAGGCTGGGAATGCTTGCAGGAGCCAAGCTGAAATGAAGCCTCTTGTTTCAGCTGCAGGCTATCTTTATCATATATGTATGAAAGATAAACCCTGCTTCAGCAAACATCTAGAGGGTTTTTTTTAAAGAGTGTATATAGGCAGGTGTATAGAGGTGACCTTGTCAAAATTGTATTCTTGGATTCTAAAGCCTTCAACAAAGATCCTCATTAAGGACTCCTGAGTAACTTGGAAGGTTTTAAAAGGGGTTGGATAAATTCATTTTCTTGACATGCATAATACACAGTCTCAGCTGGTTGTTCACTTTCAGGATCCTGCTTTTCATTCTTGACTCTTGACCATCAATAGAAAGGATGGATGAAAGCACTATTCGTATCCAGAGCCGTCATCTTTCCTACCCAGGACTTCAGTTTCTAGTATATGTCCTCTTATATATCTGTCCCTATATGGAGAATCAGCAATGATGATTATCAGTTTTCCACCACATCCTGGAGACATGTACCCCAATAACAGCAGTCTCCCACCACCACCATCACCCCTTTGTTTTCTTCTCACTGGAGAACTTAAGTTCTGTGATGTCTGCAGAACTGAGAGTCCTTTCCCTTGCTCTAGGATGGGATGATAGAAACTACCTCAGGAGATTAGCGTTCACTTTCCTTGCCTAGAATTTTCAACTGGTTGGTCAGAGGAATTGTTCATCTGCTGTTTTATCTTCTACTCCCAATGGGATGCCTTGTTGGGGTCCTCCTCCCTTCTGCTCTGCCCCTGGACATCTTCCTGCGCCCTGTCCTCCTTGGAGATCTCATTCTGCTGGCATGAATGGTGAGCTGTCTGCACAGTATCTGGTACTGTTAGCAATGATCAGGTTAGTTTTGAGTCATGGGGTGTTTGCTTGAAGCGCCTATATTAGCATAGGAATTTGATGACCTTGTGTTACCCACAGCAGCCTGCTATTACGTGGAGACTGCTGGTTTTTTTAACAGAGAGGTTTGCATTGTCAGCTAAAGAATAAAGCTATTTGTATTCACTCCTGGATGTCCCCTTGTTAAATATTTGTCTGAAGAACAAGCTGAACGTTCTTCACCTTCTCTGAGGAATCTCAAAGAAGAAAGGTTGACCTCCGCTTGGTTCAGCTTCTTCTCCAGCGAGAAGCTTGCATTTGTCACAGATGTAATCCAGGTTCCCCAGGCAAGTCTCTTCCAGGTCCATCCTTCTGGCAGAGTCTGAGATTTGCTTGTACCTCTCCATGACAACTCTCCCCCCCAAAACACCTTCCTTGTTCCTGTTTGGTCTCCTGTTCACTCACTCTGGCCACTGCTCTTTTTAAAAAAATGCTAGAAAGTATTCTTAGATTTTTAGATTTAGATTTTTTTTTATCCCGCCTGTCTTATTTTTATAAATAACTCAAGGTGGCGAACATACCTAATACTCCTTCCTCCTCCTATTTTCCCCACAACAACCACCCTGTGAGGTGAGTTGGGCTGACAGCAACTGGCCTAAAGTCACCCAGCCAGTTTTCATGCCTAAGGCAGGACTAGAACTCATGTCTCCTGCTTTCTAGCCTGGAGCCTTAACCACTAGACTAAGCTGGCTCTCTTCTTCCTGTAAACAAGGTCTAATTTCAGAGAATAAGAAATTTAAAAATGCAAGCTCTATTCTTAACCTCTGCACTGAGATTATAGATAATTTCAGAGAAATGATTTGTTTCCACTCCCCCACCCCCCACCCCCACGTGTGTGTCTTCAAATATTTCTGGCAACTGCTTGGACAACTCCCTACAGTTTTCTTGCACAGAAAGAAGTGCTTTGCCACCTCCCGGGGCTGATAGAGTGACTAGTCCAAAGTCCCCCAGCTGGTTTTGTGCCTAAAACGGGACTAGAACTCAGAGTTTCTTCGTTTCTGGCCTGGTGCCTTTAATCGTTACACTGAACTGGCCCTCTTCCCCCGTGGTTGATGTGCCATCAAGTCAGTGTCGACTCCTGGTATCCCCAGCTTAACTAGGAACATGGTTAGTTATGTCATAAGCCAGTGTTGTCCAAACTTGGCCACTTTAAGATGAGTGGACTTCAACTCCCAGAA